GGGGCCGCGGCCCTCCAGGAGCTGCAGGAGTACGTCCTCTTCCCGCTGCGCTTCGCCCTCAAGGTGCCGGGGCCCAAGCAGGAGCGCCTGGTGCAGAGCGTGCTGCAGTGCATCTCCTCCGTCCTCGCGGCGACGTGCGTGAAGAAGCAGGAGCTCCTGCAGGAGCTTTTCTCTGAGCTCTGCACGTGCCTCGCTCCGCTGTCCGGCTCGAGCAAACCCGCCCCGCTGTCAGAGGAGCTGAAGCTGGCCGTAATCCAGGCCCTCCACACCCTGATGCATTCAGCGTACGGGGATGTCATCTTGTCCCTGTATCAACCTTCCACCCTCCCCCTCTTAGGATTTGCTGTGTCTTTGCTTCTAGGCCTAGCAGAGCAAGAAAAAGCAAAGCAAATTAAGATCTCTGCTTTGAAGTGCCTGCAGGTCCTAGTTCTGCAGTGTGACTGCCAGGAGCATCGGCACCTGGACGAGGACGAGGCACAGCAGTGCGGGGATTTGTTTGCTTCTTTTCTGCCTGGAATTTCCATTACGCTGTCTCGGGTTGTTACTGGAGACATCAAACAAGGTCACAAAACCACCGTTTCTGCCATCAGACTCTTTTATCTGATTGTTGGCTTGGTCATGGCTGATGGGCAGCTAGCCAGAGTTCCGAAGAATAAAGAAAAGCTGCCAGCGGAACGAAGCAGAATAACAGAACTAATGGTCCATAGAGGACCTGATTGGAGTAAAAGTACTGCCGAAAAACTCTCTCTCCTCCTGCATAAAATGGTTGAATTTTCTTCAGTTCACCCACACTGGAAAGTCAGACTGGAGCTGGTGGAGCTGGTCCACCACTTACTGAGGAACTGCAGCCGGTCGCTGGTGGGCTCGTTCAGTCATCTCTTAAAGGCCTTGGTTGGGCTGGTGACCGATGAAAACAGCGAAGTCCAAAGCCGGTGTAACGAGGTTCTGCAGGGCATTGCAGAGCAGAGGATCGTGGCACAGAACAGGGCTCTTGCTGACGTCCTCTCCGAGAACCTCCATTCCCTTGCCACAGCTCTTCCTCGCCTGATGAACTCTGAGGATGACATGGGCAAGTTTTCCACTTTGAGCTTGTTGCTTGGCTATTTGAAGCTGCTGGGCCCCAAGATTAACATCGTCCTCAACTCCGTATCCCACCTCCACCGTCTGTCCAAGGCGCTGATGCAGGTTCTGGAGCTGGACGTGACAGACGTGAAGATAGTGGAAGACAGACGCTGGGGCTGCGAGAGCGCCTGCGGGCCTTCGGGCTCCTTGCAGCACGGTGTGCTGAAGGGCGGATGCCAGAAGAAATACTTCCGCTTCTTCACGGAGGAGAAAGTTTTCCGGCTCCTTCAGCAAGTTTGTCGCGTTCTTGGCTACTACGGGAACCTCTATTTGCTCGTGGACCACTTCATGGGGCTGTACGGAGAATCTGCCCTGTACCGAAAGCAGGCAGCCATGGTCCTCAATGAGCTGATCGCAGGAGCTGCTGGAGTGGGAGTGGATGTCCTTCAGGAAAGGGAAGATTCGCTGAACATGGATGATCTCAAAGCGTCCGTAACGTCCATTCTCGACGAGTACACAGACCAGGCGAACTGGTATTTGATCACCAGCATTGATACAGAAGAAATCAGCCAGGAGCAGTCTGTGCAACGTTCAGGACTCACTGCCCGTCCGGGAGGCGCGTGCAACGGCCTTCTCCTTCCGTCCCCAGAGCCGCAGGTAACGACCCGCACTATGAACAGCAACATCTGGCAGATCTGCATCCAGCTGGAAGGCGTCGGCTGCTTCGCTGCTGCCCTCGGGAAGGAGTTCCGGTTGCTTCTGCTGTCAGCTCTCTACCCTGTGTTGGAAAAGGCTGGTGACAAGACTCTGCTCATCAGCGAGACGGCGCTGGGGACGCTGGTAGACATATGCGAGGCCTGCGGTTATGACTCTGTGCGGTCTTTGATTAATGAGAATTCTGACTATCTGGTGAACGGGATTTCCCTGAATTTGCGCCAGCTGGCACATCAGCCACACGCTTCCCAGGTCCTGGACACCATGCTCCGACATTCCGATGCCAGCTTGCTGCCTCTGGTAGAAGACGTTATCCAGGACGTCTTGTCGGCACTAGATCAGTCTTACAGTAGCCAGGCTTCCACTTTCCTCCGGGTCCTCCACTCAGTGATGGCAGCTTTAGGTATCTAAGTGATGCTTATTTTACGTGATTCGGTCTTACTGTAATTAAGGGTGCTTGTCTTTGACCTTTCGACTTGCCGTGCAAGATTTGAAGTAGCTGAGGTACTGCAGTGTGATGGGCCAGCTCCTGAGCAGAGACCGCCTGTAGCTCCCCCTCTCCACAGACGATTTCTGCTGCTCTGGCCTGCAGACTGCCAGGATCGTGGCCTGTGGTGGCTGAGGAAGGGTGGGTTTGCCGCTCCGTTAAACGTTCTGTGGAAGCAGGTGGAGTGTGCTCCTGTTTGCGTCAGGGTTTTAGCAGTCTCGTACATCAGGGAGGTCGTGGTGACGTGGCAGCAGGTGCCTGACTCTGTAGTTCCATCCCATGAGACTTGAGCGCCGTGCTCATCTCTCGAGGAACCTGTGGCACCTTGCTGACTTGCAGGAGGGGGTCATGACTGCTTAGTGACGTATCAGTTGCTCTTTTGCAGTCCAGTGGTTTGGACCGTCCTGCGGTGAGGAACACCAGCAAAGGCCGACTGCCGAGCAGCGGAGCAGGACTTTGTCCCAGGGGCAGCAGGTGGTGACAAAGCAAGAAGTGGAGCAATTCTTCCTCGACTATGTCAGACAGAAGCAGATCGCAGAGGGCAATCTTCCTGACCCAGGGGATGAGGAGGCAGGTCAGTATGTTCAGCTTGGAGAAAGACAGCGACCTCTGAGGTCGCCTTCTGTCAGATGGGACGCAGCACCAGGCTGAGTGCCTCGCACACTGCTGACAGTCCCAGGTCTGCTTTGAGCTGACCGAAGCCCATGTAGGGTGCTGCTGGGTGTTCTTGCTTTGTTCGGTGCGGGGGCGGGGGAGTGAAATGTTTGCACATCGAGGCTTGTCTAGCTCTAAGACACAAGCACACCATGTTTTCCTTACCTCACAGCGGGCCTTTTGCGTTCGGGACCCAAAGTTCCTCTTTCCAGGATCCTGCTGCATTTTCCTCGCCCTCGCTTGGGAATCCCTGTACCATTTTCTCCTGGCTAACGATGCCACCACTCCCTTCTCCATTGGCCTTGGCAGGGCCTGCAGACATTCACATAGAGAACTTTTTAGTCTTTACTGGGCTGTGCTGCAATCCTGACCTCTAAATACTTCGTCTTTAAATATCCAGGCTTTTCATTTTTAGTAAAAATCAATGGGACATGAGTCCCAAATGTCAGACCAGCTGCGTTGTCCGGTAGAGAAAGCAAACCTTCCCTAGTCCCACACTCTTAACTGAATCTGACACCTAACTCTCACAACTGGAGCGCAGATTTGACGATATCTGAATATGTCAAAAAATGCCAAAGGCCTCACTTGGGAATTTGCACAGTAGTTGAGGGTGGGTATTGTGACCTCCCAGAACGTCCAAGTCGTTTTCATGGCTTCAGTGATGGTTTTATCTTCCAGATGAGGTTCCCCCCCTTGCTAAGATGGAGCCAAACAACCCCGACACAGGAGAAGCACCACTGCCAGCCCATGCTCAGCTGGCCAAAGACGTGATGGAGAGGTGCATCCACTTGCTGTCTGACGGGAACCTCCGAGTGCGGCTGAAGGTTAGTAAACGCCGGCTTTGAGGGGACAGATGGTGCCCACACAGGGGTCTGTAGTTTGTCAACATGTGCAGGATGCACGTGGGGCTTCCCACTGTGGCGAGGTTGGTGCTGCCATATGCCTGTTCAGGACACAAGCGTTGGCAAGAGAAGGGGAAATCTGAAAATTGGCACGGAATTTTAAAGGCAGTAAAAAAGTCAAGTCTGGTGCCTCAGCCTTTGGTGGAGGAAGCAGAAGCATCTTTTGCCCAGCTAGGCCTCCCATCCCCCTTCCTCATACTGTAGTGCACAGACTGATGAACGTTTCTGAAGTTGCTGGAGTGATGATAAGCAGGGCTAAAAGCCTGGGTTTCTGTAATTATGGAAATCCTTTAATGTGGCCTCCTTTTAAACTGCAAAACGAGACAGAAAACGCAGCAGTGAGGCCCAACCTGGAGTCTTAGCGCAGAGGCCCCAGCCCTGCCCGGTGATCCTGCTGCCGTGCCACGGGAGTGGTGGGGTCCCAGGGCACAGCTCAGCCTGCCAGATCAGGCCAGGAATCACGCCCTCGTTCCAGCCCGGCTCTGCAGGCCAGCACAAGTTATGTCACTGTGCTCCCCGTCCCTCTCTGGACAGGCCTGTGCTCTGTGCCCTGTCCACTCATCCCAGTTCATGCTGAGGTAAAACTGTTCTGTGTCTTATTACAACCCTGCTTTCTCCCGGCTGCCCAGCGTGATGCTGGGGACCCACCTGGATGCCTGGTGGTGCTGGCACTGCAGCGCTCTGGAAGTGTTTCCTGCCCCTCCTGCCCAGGTCCTGGACGTGCTGGAGCTCTGCGTGACTGTGCTGCATCCTCACGGAAACCATCTGCTCCCCATGGCTCATCGTGTCTGGCCAGCTCTCGTCACCCGGCTGATCAGCGATGACCCCCTGGCAGTGCTCAGAGCCTTCAAGGTACAGCAGCAGATCTCTGCCAACAGCCCTCGCGCTGGTGCCCAGCAGGCAGGCGGCCCCGGCGTTGCTGTGACCCGCGAGGGAAGCGCCCAGCTTGTGGAGTGGTTTTTACATGTGGTTCGGAGCACAGGGCCACCACCCTGCAGTGGGTAGGCTTGTGCCACTCCCACTGCAGGTTGGGCACAGGTGAACCCTTGCCGCTGCTCCTGGGAGAAGCAGCAGTATGAGTGGTTATTGCAGGGAAGAGAACAACAGCTCCTTCACAGCCTAAGCAGCTGCCAGAGGCGCTGTGCAGTGCAGCTTGCCCCGCTGGAGCCACAGTCTCTGCACCCACCTTTGGAAGCCACAGACTGAAGAGAAGGGGTTGCTTCGTGGTTGAGGCATTGGTGGGGGAGGGGGGAGGTTAAGCAAAGACTGAGTCTCTTAACAGTGCCATTAACGAGCTCCTGACCATGTCAGCTGGCTGCGTTCTCTTCGTGGCTCACGAGTGGGACAATACAGCATGTTTCCAGAGGCTGCCAGTCCCAGGGCTTCGCAGGGCGTCCTCTGCTGCGCAAAACGAGATTCATTTCAGAATGCTTCAATGTGAATAAAGGAGAGTTTTGATTCCCCAAATTCAGGAAGCAATACACTAGAATTTCAGAGTAGCCATACCTCACATGTGCCTGCCCTCAAAGAAGGGAGAGATCGCTACACAAAAACCAGTTAACTCTTGAAAAGTTCAAGGAATTGTTGCAGTTAGCACCGAGTTTGGGTTTTGTTGTAAGAAGTCCCCCAGGAGTGTCTTCCTTCCTAGCTCTCAGGAAGTGTAGCATCAGTGTAAGCCAAATGCAGCATAACCAGCATCTCAGTCCTGCACGCTAAGGCCACGAGCTTAGTGAAGTTCCAAGAGAGAGCCGTGTTCTGGCCATGCGGGTTGGCCCCATGGATCCCCCCCCTTCATTTTTGCATGTCTTTAAGGCCGTTCTCTGTGCCAGTTTGGTTTTTATGCCGGGCCCACACCAGTAGTGCTGGGTGCCCTGTGCTGTAGCCAGCTGGCCTCTCTGTTCTCTGGCATGCTGGTGAAGATGGGCTGTTGCCACCACAAAGGTGACGGATATTTTAATGGCCTCTTCCATCAGAGGCTGCCTCAGCAATTCTGAGTAAGACTTCACACCCACTCGTACTGTTCCTGTGCTGGCGAGAGCGGGGCAGGCCCCGGAGGTCGGCGGTGTGACACTGCGGAGCAGGGTGCAGGTCACAGCCTCTCCGCCGAGCATTCGCCTTCTGCTCATTGTGGGAAACTCTGCCCGGTGTGGTCACCTTGCTCTCCACCGCAAAACAATTATCGAGGCAGAATGACTGCCTCATCCCCCGGGCTGGTGAGGGCTGCTGAGCCCCTCCCAGACCTGTACGTGCATGTACCCTCCAGTAACTGATGTTTCTCCACCAGGTGCTGTGTACCCTGGCTGAACGGTGTGGGGACTTTCTGAGGCAGAGGTTCTCCAAGGATGTCCTGCCTAAGCTGACCAGTTCCCTCCTCAGCCAGGCCCCAGCAAGTGCCAGAGCCGGGCCGGTGTACAACCACACGCTTGCCTTCAAGCTGCAGCTGGCTGTGTTGCAGGGACTGGGCTCTCTGTGCGAGAAGTTGGACATGGGTGAGTACCAGGGAAAATACAGGTTGTGTGAGATCTCTGCCGGACTTACCTCTTCTCCTTTCATCTCATCTGACCAGGCCTGCACTTCTTATCCTTCTTCTGCCCCATGGGATTGATTTCCTGATCTTCCCCAGCCTCATCCCGTTCCAGTCCTGCTGGGCCTTAATCTGTCCTCTGTGAGAGCTCTGTATGGAGAGGCTCGTCACTCTTTACTCCCTAAGAGACAAAGGAGAGAGAAGATTCCCAGCACCCTGCAGAATCTGGCTGCTCGTCTCACTTGTGCGTGAGACGTGGGTGTAAAATGGGGTGCCTGGCTTGCTGCAGCTGGGCCTGTTGGGCCATGCTTTGTTCTTAACTGAAGAACTGAAGCCCAGATACGACTTCTGGCTAACTTGACTTGTTCCATTTTGGGACATCTCTCTGGGTGACCCTTTAAATGCAGCACATCACATCTTCTACTGAATGGAACTCTCTGAAATGCTCCTAGGCTGAATTTCTGGAGCTGACTTTGATGAGGGAGAAGCTGTGCTGGCTAGTTACTCTCTTCCCTTCTCAATGCCCTTGATTGCTTTCCTGGCTTTGCAGCAAGATGCTTAAGAGGCGAGGTCAGAAGAGCTGGGGGTCAGACAGTTCAAAGGCTCAGAAGCCTCTTGCTGCCAATTTAGAGCTGATTCTGTTAGGCAGCAGCCGCTGAGTAGGTTGCGTCCTACCCTTCTTTTCTGTTCCACTTCTGCAGGCGAGAGTGACCTGAATAAAGTGGCAGATGCCTGCCTGATTTACCTCAGTGCCAAGCAACCCATGAAGCTGCAAGAAGCTGCCCAGAGGTAATGTCTCTTAACTGCAGGTGTATCAGGTGTACAAATAGTGTGGGACAGAGGGAGCACAGTGACCCCTTTCCTTTTGCACCTTTCCCATTCCTCCCTCCGGCACGTTCGAGTCCTGTACAGCAGGGTCTCTCACGGAAGGTAGCCCCTCTCTCTGGTGGAGTATCAGTTACTGCCCAAAATGAGCTAGAGTGGTTATCTTGCCCACAAGTTACAGCTGACTTGCAGATTACCTGGCAGCGCATTTGGGGACAGAGGGGAAAGATGTGCTACTTGTTTTTTTCTAACCGCCGCCTCTGCTGGAATACGTAGGGCTCATGGCCCACTGGTGGCATAAAACTGCGGAGGGGAAGACAGCTGTGCGAGAGGATGTGCCAGGCATTCCCATGTATTTTATCACTTAATACCTGCTGCAGGCTGGGGGATTTGCTTCTGTTATCCTTCTGTTTTCCCTGGGCTCCTGGGATCACGTCAGCCAGGCTCTGCCAGGTGGAGCGGAGTTTGTTTGGGAAGCTGTCAGTCTTAACCCTGAGCAGGCTGGGAGAGGTTAAAAGAGCACAAACGCTTCTGGTGAACACACATCAGCTCTGTGAAGTGTTGACAGACATGCTTTGCTGCTTGGTGTACAAGATCCTGCTCAGCATGTTCTGCTGTCAGGATGAGAAATCACTATTGTCACACGTTGTCACCTGGAAACAATGCCAGAGATTTAAGCGGACAAAACGAGTCCGGTTACAGGATATGGAGAGCGAAACGAAAGCCGAGCACCTCTGCCTGCTGAAGGGCAGGCGCGAGAGCCCCACTCGTTCCGTGGGGCCGTGAAGGGCCGGGGTGAAGGTCCCCCTCCCTCTGGCCGAGCCTCCCCTGCCCTGCGGGAGAGGGAGCCGGGGTGGGCAGGCGCAGCGGGCGCTGCGGATTTCGGAGGACCGGCTGCTGGAAAGGGGAGAGCTGCCAGCTCCCTTCACCTGCGCGCAGGGCTCCCGGGGCTGCAGGGCGAGAAGGGCTTTTGTGTGGCTGGGCAGCGGTTTAGACGGAGCGCGCTCTCAAAGCTGTACCTGTGCCTTTGTTTGCAGTCCTGCGCTGGCGAGAATAGGTTTATTTTTACCTTGGTGGCTTTTACTGCATCGCAGCAGGCTTCAGCAGCATTTGTTCTGCAGAGGGGTTCTTCACTGTGGGCTTGCATACCCTCAATACAATAAAGCATTCATCTGTGTAAGCAATGCTGGAATGGAAAGCAGAACGCCAGGATTTAGCCGGGTATTTGGAATCTTAAGCTTTTAAATCATTAACAAAGCAGTCTGAAAAGCCATGCAATTTCCCCCCACAGCAGGGGTAGGGGGAAAATACTGAATTAGCCCTATGATGTGATAGGGTCATTAGAAGCTGTATTGTGAAGGAGGCTCAATGTTGTTGGAGAAAAAGGGCAGCAAAGTTTAGGGCAAGTAACATTTTTCTCCTGTATATTATTTTTATTCTGTTTTAAGGGCAAAATGCCACATGTTATGCTGCTCCCCCCATGCCTTTGATGCACCGTGCATTACATATTTCACTGAACAAAGCAAGGTCTTCTGTGAACAGCTCTCTCACGTATAGCTCTGTTGGCCAGACACGTGTGTGCACTGAGGCGTGCATCATGTCTGGCCTGGTACTAGCCATGCATATGGCAGTACTTGTACTTTTCTCTCTCCTTTTGGTTTAGCCCTGTCTGATCTCTGCTCTTAGAACCTGGATGGATCAGAGTTAAACATATCACAGTCACTTTTAACTGTAGTGCACATGATACGAGGTTTCAGCTTGGAAAAGTCAAGATTAGTTTGCCCCATAACAATCAGCTCACGCACCAGGAGAAGAATCACTTCTGAGCCGTTCTTCGGGTGCCTTTCTCCAGCTGCTTCACCGCCAGACGCCTGTAACCTCCCGTCCTTTTCCGTGCGCTCCCTCCGTGTGCCGGAAAGTCACCCTGCAAGCTGACACAGATTGTCACACGTAAGGCCCTTTCCGTTTAGGCAAGAGCAACGTTATCAGCCCCCTACATGAAAAATTCTGCATTTTAAATGCTGCTAAAAACAGATAGACCAGAACTAATCTTAGCCACAGCACGAGAGCCAACATACGTCACATAACTCAGCTTTATCACTGCAGAAATCATACAAGGTAAAAAGGGTGTTTGGAATCAGCTTGCCATGTTGATTTATACTAACTGGCCTTTGCTCAGCTTTCTGGATTCTCGCTCAGCTATGAGTTGTGACCTGCCAAGAACAAGGTCAGCTCTTACAAAGTCAGTCGCAGCTCCAATAACTCCCCACACTGACGAAGTGAGGATTCTGTAGGTATGCGAAGGGCTGAGCAGGAATTTTGGGCCAAGGTGCTGCAGCTGGGGAGAAAAAAAAAAAAAAGGGCATTTTGGCTGTCTTCCAAGGATGTTACCGTGCCCCAAGGAGGCTGCTTAATCCCATTTATGGGACCCTGGAGTTTTATTAGATGAACCAGTGGGAGTAAACGAATTTTGTAACTGCAGCTTCATGCAATGCTCAACAGGAAAAAATAGACACTGGGAAAAAAATCCTCCAGCCTGTCTGAGGAGGAGAAAATGGGACAATAAGCTTTATTATAAGATGACTGCTGGGAGTATTCCAGCAAAGGAATATTATCCAGAGCTTGAAGAAAAAAAAAGGAATACTGGAGAGGTGTTTGGGAAGGCTAGAGAACGCTAGCTACACCTTGGCTGCCATTGGAAGTAAGCCAGGGCAGCTGTGGGTGAAGTGACCAGAAACAGCTGAGCAGCCAAGGGTGGGTGGTGTGGGAGGAAGGTGGTGTAAACAGGCAGTCACAAGATGTAAATCTGAGCTTCTCAGCAATTTGTTAAGTTGCATCATCCCTGACAAGCTTTTCACTTTGGGGGGGAAACAAAAAACCACCAAAGGAAAAGAGACTAAGAAATTGTCAGAGGCCTATGTCAACACAAATACTGCATTTTTTTGATTTTGAAATTTACAGTTAACTCCTAAGAAATGTTTACAGCCTGTGAAGTTTAGCATCTGACCTTTTGGTCAACAGTCTGACTAGGAATGGGTTTTTTTCCAGGATGCAGAAGTAGCTTCCCCCGTGCCTGTGGTGGCCTGTATCTGTGAACCATTCGGAGATGCAGAAGCCGGACAGCCTTGTTCTTCTGCCAGCCTGGTCACTGGGCCGTGGCTTTGCTTAAAGCTTGGGAAAAGACAAGGCAAAAAAATAGCCAAACTCTGCTCTGTGCTAGCAGAAGTAGTTATTTAGCACAACTGGAACAAATATGAGCTATTTTTGGACCTTTTTAGATACCCACGTTGATCATGCAGCGTACCCCTTTTGGTTTGATTATGTAGTTATTGGATACTTATTGACAGCTGTCATTTGCAAGCTGGGCTGAAGTACACTAAAGCAGCCACCTGCACAAAGCAAAATTCAATAAAATGATATTTAAGTGAAAAACAACAGAAAACAAACCTGGATTAACCCCAGGATTCTTTGCCATGGAAACAGGTTGCTTAGAAACTACCCCAGAGTTAGTTTGAACATGTAAAAGTCAAGTTGTTCTTTAAGCTGCGCAGCACTCCGGGTTATCAGGAGATAATCACAGGCCTCGGGCCATCGTGGGCTCAAGAGGCAGAGGAGTTCTCCAGGGACCAGCTAATCTCCTGGGGCTTGCTCTCTCCAGAGCAGCCGACTGGGAAGAGGTTGGGGAGCAGAGCATCTTTGCTGTCACTGTCAGAGGCAAAGCTGTGCACGTGTTGGAGAAGCAGGAGCCAGCTGAGCAGGATTCCCTGTTCTCACGTTCACTTCACAGCGACCCATCTTCCTCGCCCGGCCCCGTCCGGCCCAGCC